GCTACTGCCAAGACAATCAAGAAATAGTTGTGCACTTCTGGTAGCTCTGTTCAATTGTTATGTGCCAGTTGTCAATGACATCTGTGGGGGAGGAAAAATACTCTAGGCCCACAAGCTAGTTACAAGTGAAGGTATTGGATTTAAATTTCCCAGCCTCTTCACATACTTGCTGCACGACTATTCAAGTCATATACATTTTTTACCCTGTGATACTTCTCTATTCATAAGAACTATTTTATTCCACTTAAAGTCCTTCAGATGACAAAGAATCTCACTTTATAACAGAATATGAATTTTCCTTCTTGCTAGTATGCAACAGCTCTTGAAATCTATTGAAAGACCAAATAGACTAAAGATCAACAATCTACATCTTGTCTGCAACATATACAGGCCAGATCCTCAGCCAAGTGGCGATCTACACCAATCTACACCAGCTGTAGAACTGGCTCAGATGCAAATATACCAGTGAACTGAAAAATTAATGAGCGCTTGTTACATTTACACCTTAGACTACTTTGGTATTTAATTTTATTATATATTTGGACTGATATTTTTAGAGAGAAATAACTTTGGAAAAGAGTTTGCCCCTCAAAGCAAATATGCAGAACGTTCATGACAATATTTTACTTTCAACTTTTATATTTTTCAGGTGTTTTTTGTATACACGTTCTAAATATTGTAGTACTTTAAGGGTCTGTTCCTGCAAAATGTTATGTACACCGACATGCTTATTGATTGCCATGGAACTGTCTTTTTAAGACAAGAGCACTCAGGCGAATGAATGTACAAAATAAGATCCTAGAAAAGGAAACACTGAAGCACTTCCACAAAAACTGGCATCTACATTCAGTTTTTACTCACAAGTAATACAGGTTGTGCCGAATAACATTTTCCCCTCTCAAATAAGCAACCGCTATTTCCCCCTGCTTTCCTTCAAACTTGGCTATATCTTAGATCTACATGCCATACCGCGTTCTCACGTTCTTCTCCAAGAGGCAATAACTTGGAAACTGGACTTTCCGGAGCGCCAATATCACTGACAGGAGGCATGTGTCCATTTCTTAGTACAGGCGCAACTCCTGCAGGCTGGGCTGTATGCGAATGGGATAGCGAGAGTGTCTGGCTGGAAAGTTTTGTATCAAGCATCAGGTACTGTTTCACTTGATGTCTCTGGCTCTGCTGTATGTGATATCTAGATTGATTTTCCAAGTGTGTTTGCACCTACAAAGAAAAAAAAAAAAAACCTGTTGAAGTCTGTATTTATCAGTATGATTTTTTATCTATAAAGGCAGCTGAAGAACAGCTGAAGAACTGACATTTATGCCAGACATTTATAACTATTATAAATCTCTAACTTTTTTCAGACTTCATTCCCTTTAGACAAATTAACTATTTTACATTTTCCTCCAAAATAGCTATATGATTTGTTTAAACAACTATTTGGAAAAATCCAATCAGTATGCATACTCTTGAGGCTACATTGCAATTATATCACATCTCTTTTCTTTTTCAAGCTGATGATTGGTCTATAATTAAAAATATTGACTATCCCTCCATAAAATGGTAACAAATGTATGCTAAACTAAACATCACACCATACATATCGTTTTGTGTCTATCACAGCAAACAAATGTATAAACCAAAATGTCGGACAGAGTAACTAAACAGCCAGAGATATTCATTGAATCTGATAACATTGGCTCACCTTATAGTAAGAGCAGTCTGGTAAATGAGGCATTTTTGCAAAAAGAAAAGGCAAGACAGTGGATGGGTGCTCACTATTCCCAAACTGTGCAGTCCTTTAGAGTCTGCTTGAAGAATGACATTTTTTTAAGACAGCAGGACTTAATTTATAAAGTGGCCATGCCAAAAGACCTAATTGAGTAAGACTTGGGCCATCCTTTGATTGCACAGATTGACAGTTACTACTTCAAAAGACTCCCATTTCAGATCAGTGTCACATTCCTATAATTTAACCACCACAGCAGTACTGCATACACAAACTATACTGTCATCTCAGCCCTGTGGCTTTCTTTCCATGCTATGGTATGACTAGTCACAAATTTCTTGTAATAAATTTTCCTGAAACAGCTTTTGTATAAGCATGTTTCATTTTAGTCAGTAATGGTTAAGCTTGGTTTGCAGCCATTATATTTCCTCTATTTTCTTCATTCCACTTAAACTGATTTTTAATTCCCCTAACATGTATAAGCAGAGATGAATAGCCCATATAAAAATGTATTGGACTTAAATTAGCTACATTTTGCTACAATATTGCACTGCTTATATTATTTTATTAGAGTTAAACTGGTCCATTTAGAATTATTCTAATTACAGTTACATAAACTAATACCTAGGCATAAAAAAAGATTTAAATCTGTAATGAACATACAGACACACAAACATACTACTAATTATACTGATATAAGTTTTCAAGTTAAGTACAATTTTATTAAAAATAATGATATAAAAATAGAGGCTGCTTACAGACATAACGCCTCCCCCCCCAAAAAATGGCGCTTTACTTTAAACTCAGTGTGCCCCCATGCTGAACCCAGCACATGCCTAGAAGAGACATCGTGTTAACTGGATCCAGCTCACCCAATGTCTGTATAGGTTAGGCATTTTAGTGGGGCTTTTTTGATGCTTTTATCTAATAGCCAATTGAAACAACATTAGATAAAAACGCCAAAAAGCCCTGCTAATGCACCCAACCTATACAGATGCTGCAGAGCTAGGTCAAGCTAATGTGCTGCTGTTTCTGGTAAAGTGTTGGGGGGGGGCGGTTTCATATCCGTCAGCAGCCTAAGCGCATGTCTTAGAGGTCTCTATAGTTTTAAGTTAGCAATACTTTAAACTCTTATATGATTTCTGAAAAGTCAACATATTTGGGATTAACTTCAGACAAGAAATATTATTTAGGTCTTGCTTGGAATATTCACAGAAGTTCAAGGTTGGAAGGGACCTTGTAAGATTGAGTCCAGCCCTCCTGCTCTGGACAGGAAAGACTGCTGGGGTCAAATAACCCCAGCAAGTTGTGCGTCCAGTCTCCTTTTGAAGATCTCCATTCATGTTAGTTGAGGCAAGGATGTATTTTGCTATTTATTTAGGCCTCAATTTGTCAAAATACTTAAATACATGTTTAAGTCTATCCCTCTTCAAAGTACTTATGGATATATTTAAGTTCCTTCAGAGCCAATGGAACTTCAGCACATGCCAAACTTTGAAAATGGCCTTAAGTGTTTTCATCAATTAGGATTTCAGGTTAAAATCCATTCCATGCTTCTTAAACAGATATATGGGGTCTCTCCAAGTAGTGTGCTGCATAGTAAGCGAGATAAAATCCACCTAAGCACAGAGCCAAGGGTCCATAGTGGCTGATCACTTTTCTTCACACTGCTATTCCGCAAGTAGCCATATTTTTCCCATGTTAACTGTGCAAAGTTCTAGCACTACAGAATTCACATAAAAGCAAAACCTATCCTGACCTTCACCCCGCCTAGGCTAGTGCAGAAATGCTACCTGTATTGTATAGTAACTTCCATTAGCTCTGTCAGTGGAACCCCTAAAGGACTCCTTTACATAGAATCATAGAAAAAGAATCACAGAATAATAGAAAAGTAGGGCTGAAAGGGGCATCCAGAGACAAACTAAAGAGAGTTTTGCACTGGTCTCCATACCACACTTAAATGAAGGTGATGACCTCTTAATCTCGCATACAGCAATATTAGCTCAACATTCTTGAATGGAACATTCAAATGTATTACTAGATTTTAAAAAAATACATGGAAATTATAAGGAATTTATAGTTCATTAGATAATCAATATGTGCCATCCTTCAAAGTTCTCTGTCAAACTGCAGGAAATTTAATCATTAAGTAGATATTATTCCAAGGAACTTGACTGGGAGAATGATAGCTCTCTTTTGTGTTACTATGAATTTTGGGGTCATCAGTGCCAGGGAAAACTAGAACTCCTGTGGAGTCTGATTACCTAAAGAAACACCACTTCCTATATTGTGCCATTCCCCTGCATGGTTTTCATGAATGAAAATCAAGTAAGCATTGACTAATGGTTAGTCAGAAATCAAGCTTGTTATAAGTGTTTTTCTTACACCATTTTCTCTTGGCATGTATAAAGATCCTGACAATGTTGTTGTGGAATTACAGACAAAAGAAAAGAATGCAAAGCTCCTCTGTTAAAGGATGCAGCCATTTCTAGAGCTATAGTTTTTCAGACCTTTCCATGGTCTCCAACGTATGAGTTACAAAAGCCATTACCGTTGGAACAAAAGTAGATCTGTTTGAGTTGAATGGATCCATGCAAGTTTTGGGAAACATGCTCCCAATTACTGCATTTTCATTAACTATTGAGCTAAAGGAACCTGTAGACCACTGACACATTTGAGGTCACCCCATTTGTTTAGGTTCAATGGGGAATTTAGATTTCCAAAATTTGACTAAGATACATAAAATATAAAAGAAAAAGCTATGTTAGAAAAAAATGAAGGTTGTAAAGTCAAATGCTTAAAACGTTAGAAATGACAGAATTGCCTCCCTATACAAAACATTTAAAGTAGGAGTGAAAATTCAAAGCATTATTAATAAGTTTATGAGTTTGAAAGTGAAGTATGAATTAGTCACAATATGATTGGAAAACAAGTTAATTCTCCACTGGCATACCAGACGATTCACATTATCTTGTGTCAGTAATATTATGGTCATTTTAGGCTTGCAGTAGCTAATAGAAATCCCTCTTTTTAGTATTTGTAACTTTGGCAACAATTTAACATTTTATTTTGAGTTTATATTAGCAATTATTTTTGTACAAGTTGAGAACAAAAACCTCATCATGTATGCTCAACTGGAGAAATTCACACATGCTGGTTAAAGCACTGGCACTGAAACACTCAGTCCACTGGATTAGAGGACTAAACAATAAAGTAAGTATCCTTATGTTCTGCCATTATCCCCAAAGACAACTCCTGCTTTAGAACCAAGTTCAAAATGAATTCTTACATACATGAGTAGTCCCTTTAATTGATTTGGGCTATTGAATTCAGTAGGATTATTCATGTACATAAAATTATTCAATTTTAAATATTAGCAGAATTTGGGTCTATCTGTTTAGATCAGTGGTTCTCAACCTTGTTAGATTAAAAGTACCCCTCAGAAAATGCCAGCTCTTAGCTTTCACTCATATTTTGCCTATAGAAAAAAAAACTGACTATAGCAATTCTGTTGCAAAGAACTCAAAAAATGACAACAGGTCAGATTGTGTTGAGCACTATGGATTCATATTTGAAATCTCTGACTACATCCTAAGAATCATGTGTAGGTGTTTGCACACCTAAAAGTGATTACATTGCACGGCAACCTTAAAAGGATCTCATAGCATGCAAAGGTGCCACAGCACCCTTGTTCAGAATCATTGGTTTACAGTATATAAATGTATTATTTTTTCACTTTTAAAAAAATAATTATGAAAAAGAAATGTAAATGATTTAATTGTGAAGAATACATTTTTCAAAGCACCTTAATTATTTTAGGGGCTAAATAAGGACATATTGATACAAAAATCCAAAAACCCAAAATTTAAGTGCAACTGACGTCTGCAAAAGTCCATTCCACTGCTGCCTTCCCCTGTTGGTACAGAATTTCTGCTGCCGAAGAATCCTCCAGTGGGAAAACACAAAACTGCCTTGGTCCTGTATGGAACTCTAGCTCATACCTAAGTTCCTGTGAGGTTCTCAAACAATATTGACCGAGCTATTATAACTGTGTGGATAAATCCAGTTGTTGTTATCAGAGCAAATCCACCTGATTCAGAACCTTACAAAAGACAGAGCGGGTCTGTCTAGCAATCCAGCTAGGTATCAGCTGGGTATTTGGGCTGTGCGAAGCTTCAGTAGCCAATTCAATTTGGAGGAGATTTGACCCGAGTCAGAGACCGAAATCTCTGAATCTGAATTGAATCGAGAGATCAAGTAAAAGCTCTGAATTGATTTGAAGTATCCGAATAGAGTCGGAAAAAGTTTTGGAAAAGATTTTGCCAATTCAGAGATTCGGCCATAGACTAAACAGGCAGATGACAGTTGCCTCCAGCGGGGAAGTCTGTTGGGGTTGGGGGAGGAGAGAAGGATTGGGGCTGGGAAAAGCTGCCCAGTCAGGGTGGGAGGTGCATTACTCAGGGAGGGGAGTTGGCGGGGTACAGGATGCGGGTGCAGCAGCGCTAGGAGTGGGGACTCTGCCCTGCTGCCGATTGCCCAGCCAGGGTTGGGGGCAGGATGTGGGCGCAGCTTGTTCCAGGTGGAAGAGGGCAAGGGGCAGCAGGGCATAGCCCCTGCTCCCAGCGCTGCTGTACCCACATCCTGCGCACCCCCCTGCCGCCTGGCAAGTGGCAGCAGGGAAGAGCCCCCGCTCCCAGTGCTGATGTGGGCGCAGCAGCACTGGGAGTGGGGGCTATACCCTGTCACCACCCAGAGTGATCCACACCTGCATTGTGCACCCCCCCCCCACCACCTGGGCAAGTGACAGCAGTGCATAGCCCCCACAGCTCCCCCTACCAGGGCAGAAGCAGGCACAGACACAGGAGCCACGAGAGAAGCCCCCATGACTGCCCTGCTTGGCCCCATCCCCCACCCAGCCCAGCTTCTTAGCACTTAAAAAAAAAAAGGAAAAGCCACCCTGCACTCACCAGCCCCTGCAGCGGCAATTGGGGGCCTCCGAAGGCTCATGATAGAACCTTCCTGTGTATTGCAAGGCAGCA